TCCTTGGTCCTTGCATGGGATGGCCACCCGGGACTCGGGCAGCCCGGCTGGTAGCCTAGTTTTTTTACGAAAAGAAAAAATGTTCATGAGTTGTTTGTGCGAACACATTCTCGCAAACGTGAAGGATCGCGAACACATTTGTCGTGTTACGCAGACAGACACAATGTCGTTGCAGTAAATTTATTTATTTATTAATTAACCTTTTTCTGGTTTCATTTTTTATCGCATTTTAATAAGAATTTGAGGTTGGTGCTCAAACAAATATTGTTTGTCTGCCTATGTTACACAACATAAAAATTCTCACAAGAAATGAGAATTGAAAAAACATTCAATTAAAAAAAAAAAATCATATTTATAAATGATCATTCCAATATTTGTCCAATTCTTAAATTTTCAGTTTTATTTGACAAGTTCCCGTCCAAATATAAGTTTTCCCTTTCAGTTACATCTATTTGTTCAAGATGGAATGAAAGTCTGGACAATTTTATGAAATATTTTAATTAAAATTTAATTCTACGACAACAAATATCTTCTAATTTAGATTGGATTAACCTATTTATAACTGAAAATCCTTACTTAGAATGACAATCCAATTAAAATATTTCATTAACTCATCCAGACTTTCATTCCATCTCTAGCATGCAGTTCAAATAAGAAGGAATACTTCACTCTTGGAAAAAAAGTTTTCAAGTAAGACGGAAAATTTTAAAATTGGAATGGTGTTTTTTAAGACGGAATGAAAATTTAAAATTTTGAATGTAATTTTACTATAGAATGATTATTTAATTTTGAAAATTTTTTCTGTTGCATTGCATTTTTTTCCTCCATTTTTTTTTTTTCCCACCCCCTACGGACAAACTTTGCATGGCCACATACGGGTTTTGTACGTAAAATATGAGTTTGCTATGTACGAAAAGGCTACGTACGTGTTTGCACGATTACATAGGTCCCCATCAAATAACCTTTTTGTGATAAAATATGGTCAAGTCTATGACTTAGTCAAACACCTTCAAAATGCACTATCTGACACTTCCCCACAAACTCATATATTAAGGTAGAATTAGTATTATAAAATATAAAGGTTTGTAGCTTTTTCCAAAGTTAAAGAGTTACTAAACATTATAATTATTGTCTTTGGAGTCTATAGAAGTTTATAGTTTGATATGTTTGGGTCAAGGGTCAAATCGAGATAACAAGGGCATACAAGAGTCAAAGAAGACCTTAGGAAAATCAATAGTCAAGTCCAACTCAAACATTAAGTTAACAAAGTCAAATATTTCTCGAAAGTTAACCGAATGTACATATTACACACAATGTGAAGACTGTATAGTTTAAATAAGTTTTAATGACTCTCTAGAACAAGACGCACACGACGGTCAATAAAATATTGATGGTTAACATTAAACAAATTATTTGTCATTGAATAAGGCACCTTGAGGCGAACTGAACAAAGTAAAACTATTAAAGATCATGCATTGATTTTGTAGTATATTGTTCGAGAGTCGTTAAAAAGTAAAAGGTAACCACTATTGTAAATCACATTAAAGGATAAAACCAATTTCCTAAAATTTTAAGAGCTTTATATACCCGACCATAACAGTTTTCTGCTATCGAAATTAAAAATTTTCAATCATTTCAGAAGGTAACCGGAGACAAACTATATGATATGAATACTATACAATATGATTTTGAACTTCACTATACATTTATTTTGCAGAACAAATAAGGTGTATTATGTGTTATCGCCATAGTTAGAATGACGGAGAGGGTGAAAGTTATAACTAGCAAGAGTTATTGATGCATCATGTACATGAGTGAGAGAAAATTAAAGATACGAGTTTGAAAATTATTTTTTAAACATGTGCTCGTACTTCTTTGTTAAAGACTTAGAGGTGATGATGATACAAATTGCTAAGACTTCTTTGGCGCTAAAAAAACGGGGGTTGAAGGTTGAGGAGGGTAGTAGACATGTGAAAAAAACCTACTATTTCAGTTGGTAATCATAACCACGTAAATAAGAAAAAATCAAAATAATACCAGAAATAGATATTTAAGGTAGGCTACCAGCCGGGTAGCCCGGGTCCCGGGTGGCCAGCCCGTGCAAGGACCAAGGAAGGTCCCAGCAAAAAAAAAAAAAAAATCAAAAAAATCTCTAAAACAACTATGTTATGTAGAAAAATAAAGTGAACAACCTTTGCCTCAGGGTCACATCGAAAGTTCACACCAAATTCAGAATAAAAAATACAATATTAAAATAATATTTTTATTTTTATTTTTGTTAATATTTTTTTGTCCGGCTGTGCTAGTGACCCCGGACCATTCTGGTAGTCTCGTATTTAAATTGATTTTTATATATTTTTATTTTATTTTAGTTTTCATTATCGTTTATGCTCGAAGATAATGTGTGGTACTGGTGTTAGTAAGATTAAGAGATTGGAGTGTAGGTGATCATAGCTTTATGGTGGCAATATCGTCGTGATTGAAAAACGAGGCTACACGTTGTTTAGAAAATAAAAATTATCATTTATAGTGCGAACATTATTACACTTGTATATAATAGGCTAGTGATGTAGAGAGATTGCCTCATTGAGTAATATCGTATATGAATTAACAATAAATAAGTAAAAAGATTGAAATAAAAAACTTTACTAACATTGAGATTGCGAAAAGAAATTACAAGGACTGAGACAAATAAAGAAACTTAAAAATCAATTTCAACATTACATTTTTTTATTTATGTTACTCTTTTGTACAATAACTATATAGTTTTTACCCGATTTTTCT